TATTGTTTATGGACAAATTTTGTCATTATGTTTATGTGGTACAGGCGTTGGTAGTCAGTTACTCAGTAATAGAGGAGTAAATACTCCCACAGGTACCAATTTAGGATTAGAAATGAATTTCAAATAAAATAAAGCTTTTATTGGATGTAACTATGAAATTTACTAGTTTTGAAATTGCATTAGAATTATTGAATAACCTCAAATGTCAAAAATAAATTCATAACATATTGTCTTTCTTTGTGAAAAATTGCATCTATATAATTAAATATAATAGGTGTTAAGTTAAAAGTAAATATTTTTAACTTATCTAAAACTTTTTATCATTAGCTATTGTTTGCATGTGGAAAAAAATTGAGAGATAAATAAATAAAAGAAATGCTATAAGTAAATTTTTATTTATAAACATTTGCATATAGTTGCAAAAAATTAAATTACAGCTCAAAGTTTTCTTAACTATTTCCTATTATCATCGATTTATGGGACAGCGCTAGTATTTCGAAAAGGCGAGAATGCATTTTTACCAGTGCTCAGGGAACGTGGATGGCGCTATTTGCTGTTAGCTATTGTAGATGTTGAAGCTAACTATATCATTGTTTATGCTTATCAGTTTACTAATTTGACTAGTGTACAGGTAATTTTTTATTACATTCAATTACTATTCGAATTTTTTCAAATAAATGTTTTTTTTTTAAAATAAAAAAAAATTTTAGTATTTTAGTATTCTCTTATCAATTTCGAATATTTTATTTCTCCATGAATGATTATATAATATTTTTTTGCAAATTTTAACTATCAATATTTTAGTTGCTGGATTGCTCAACGATACCGATGGTATTACTATTATCGTGGTTATTCCTTTCTACACGCTACCTCTTGACACATATAATTGGTGTTGGAATATGTCTTGTCGGAATTACCGTTCTTATTTGGGCTGATGCTTTGGAAGGAAAGGGTACTTCTGGTGGTAAATTTTGATTTTAAAATAAACAAAATAGAAAAATTACATTACATACATTTTTGAGTAATTAAAACAAATATTGATATAATAAAGGATTACCATCATCATTTTTAGTATCATAAAATGATGCTATCAAAATTATAATCAAACAATAAGATCATTAAAGAATCAGCTAAAGTAGGAACAAATAGTAGCAATAAAAAATTTTCAATTAAAACATCACATTTACAAAACAGGGATATATTTGATGAAATTGTGTTCAAAAAATTTATTTTTCTCCTCTTATTCGTTGTTTACATTTCTTTTCTTAACTATTCTTCTACGAGATAGATATAATTAAAGCATAAAAATTGAGGCATTTATAAATAAAAAAAAAAAAAAAAGTTATACATGTTATGAATAGTGCTTACATTTTTGTCATAATTTTCCTCATTTAATGATTTAGCAAAGATAATCAATTATCTTGCTTAAAGAAACTTGATTTTATTATTTTTCGAAAATTTTTATTTGAAATTTAGGTTTTTTTTTTTAATATTTTCTTTTAGTTATTTTAATTTATTAACTTACTACTTTTCTTGGTCAAAAAAAAAAAAAAAAGAAAATTTACTCACTATATTTTAAGGAATTCTATTGTTTATTTTACTTTATAGCATATATAAAAATAAAAATACAAATATATGCATTTCTTTAAATAAATATATCAGAAATACAAATGATTAGTAATGATAATATAGTTATAAAATTGATGACATAATCTAGTAGCAATGATGCTATCATAATGAACAGATTGTAATTTATTTTTAATGCAAATTTAATTTTATTTCATTTTTTTCAATTCATTAATAAAATTTTTCAGATTCTAATCGAGTATTAGGTGATGTATTATGTTTGATTGGTTCAGTTCTATATGCAATTGGTAATGTTAGTGAGGAATTTTTGGTGAAACAAAATAGTCGAATTGAATATCTTGGTATGGTTGGCTTATTTGGCTCAATCATCTCTGGTATACAACTGTAAGTTTATCACATATTAAAGTATGAAATTAATTTTTTTTTTTTTATATCTGATAAAACAATATTTCAGCGCTACTTTAGAGCATCGTCAATTAGCATCAATTAATTGGTCAGGAATGATCATAATATACTACCTTTTATTTGCTGCATGTATGTTTCTATTCTATTCAATGGTCAGTGTAGTTGTACAAAAGTCTTCCGCTCTTATGTTCAACTTATCAATACTTACTGCCGATTTTTATACTCTTGTTTTTGGCTTATTCATGTTTAAATATGAAGTAAGTTATATGCTTTTTAAAAAAAAAAAAAAACAAATTATTAACATTAGCAAAATAATTAATCTATTGAAAAGAAAAAAAAAGTTTTTTTAATTTTATTTTTTTAAAAATTTTAAAGTGATCTAGATTAGCCCATGTTTAAATTGTTTATTTTATGTAAATTTTGATCATTTTAGATAAAAATTAATTTTTTGTAATTCATATTTTAAAAAATCAATTCAAATAAATTTTCAGTTTCATCCGTTATATTTCTTGTCATTTGCCCTAGTAATTATCGGTTCTCTAATATATTCAATTCGAGAAACGGAAAGGCGTGATCCGGATGAACCACGTAATATATGCTGCTTATTATGTCATTGCTGTACAAATAATAATAGACAATCATTACAAATTCCTCAACAATCTTTTGTAAGTTTTTTTTTTGCAACAAATTTTTTACATATAAGAAAGTTTTTTATCTCTTTAATAAATCTCTTTTATTGATATTATTAGATATTGTTTTTTTTTTTTTTTTTGACTTATGAATTTAATTTTAACGATAAATTTAAGAATCGGATTTCGTCGATGCAACCAAGAAGCGGAATTGGAATAACGAATATTCCGGTATGTGGTGGGACAACTGCATATCCGAGAACTACAAATATTAGACATTGTCCAGTACATGGTCGACAAATTCCCATTTTACAACAACAACAACAACAACAGATTAGTACAGTGGAAACATATGCATAAATTTTTATATTTATATTTATAAAAGAATGTTTCTTCATGAAAATGTTGAAATTTGCCATTTTTGAAAAAAAAAAAAAAAACACTACTTGCTTGATTATTTAAATATGACAAGAAATAAACATTTTTAAATTTTATGCAATTCATCTGCAATGGAATATTTTTGTCTCTTCTTTAAAACCAATCTGACAAATTTTGTTTATGAATCTCTCAAAAGTTGTTGTAAAAATGACTGACTGTAAAATTGTAAACAGTTAGGTAATCTGAATTAATATTCAAATAGAAATAAAAGAGGACAAAAAAAAAATTTAACATCTATCAGTTACTAATTTTCTATCGTCCTGAATTTATTAAATATGAGTGGTATTAATTTTTATATTTAAAGATTAGATGACATCAACTAAGTGGTTTTTTTTTTTTTTTGTTGATGTTTTTCAAAATTGATAGATATCAGATTTCTATAGCAATATTTTTGAAAGATAAATTGAGCATAGTAATTTAGATAAAATAAAATTGCTATGTAAATAAAGAGGCGATGAATCACTAAAAGTTAGAATTTTCAAATTTGAAGAAAAAAAATTCACTTCTAAGCTGAACAATAGTAATTTGAAATACGAAACTTATCAGTTTCAGTTGAAATTTTTTTTTTTAAACATAAAAGGTTATCGAAACAATAATTACTCATTTATTAATTTATATGCAAAAATGATAATGCTACAAAGTTAATGCTAATATGCTAATTATATTAATATGCAAAATTAAAGTTAAAATTAAAATTTGAGCATTAATATGAACAAATTATTTTGAATAGAATATATATAACTGACAACAATGATAGTATTATGATAATAATACTTACTATAAGTTAATTTATTACTATTTGTGACAAATTGTAATCTCACCTGAAACTATTCTTTTAATAATATTTTGTTTAAGCAATTAACTACAATTTATCTCTATTTATTTTTGCCATATTTACCATTTTTAATAATATTTTATTGCATTTTTTCATGTAATTATTTTAAAAGAATCAATAAACCATTTATTCACATTTGACTAAATTAGCATTTCAAAAATTTTAATCTAACATTTATTTTATTATTTCATTACTATTTTGATTTGTTTTAGTTAATTGCCGAATCATAAATGAATCATTTTCTATTCGAATTTCAAGTATGTATATATACTATCAGTCTTCTCTTAATTCTTTTTATTATTTTATTGCTCTTTTTATCTTTATAAAAACTGAATTGTTATTAAATATGCAATGAATTAATGAAATTCATCTGTTCTCCTTCCTGATAACACCAATCGATTTTTTGAATATCAAGAATTTAGTTATGAATGATAATATGATAATTATGAGTGATAGTGTGATAATTACGAGTGATAATGTGATAATTATGAATGGTAGTGGATGATAGTGTGATAATCATGATTGATAGTGGATAATAGTATGATAATTGTGAGTGGTAATATGATAAATATGAATGATAATATGATAATTATGAATGATAGTGTAATAATTACGGGTGATAATATGATAATTATGAATGATAGTGGATGATAGCATGATAATTATGAATGATAGTGGATGATAGTATGATATTGTGAGTGATAATATGATAAGTATGAATGATAATATGATAATTATGGATGATAGTGTGATAATTATGGATGATAGTGTGATAATTATGGATGATAGTGTGATAGTTATGGATGATAGTGTGATAATTATGGATGATAGTGTGATAGTTATATTTCTTGTATATTTCATGTCAACTACATGCTGTAACAAATGGCACTCTTTCAAATTTATTCCATATTATTGCAAAATTTTTGAAATAATATTTATTCAAATAATAATAATTTCGTACACATATCAAAACGTTTAATTTATGTTTTAAAAAATTTATATTTTTTAAACACAAAAATTTCTTACTTAAATTAAATTCCATTTCTGCAATCGATAAATATATATTTTATAATGACTTGCAGCAATAATTTAAGCTAATTAATCAATTAATTTATTTTGCTCATTTCACGTGCTTCACGTTTAATACGTCTTGCTACAGCAGCAACTAATGCTGCACCACGTCCACTTCCATCTTCCGATAACATTAATTGATATTCTAAATTTTTTGGCAATAATTGATCAATTTTTTGATCCATAATTCTAGCAAAATGTGGATGAAAACGAAATAATGATCCATCAATGCCAACTGTAACATATGGTTTCTGTAAACGATTCAATAAACAGGTAATTCCAGCTGCTGTAAGATGTGCTGCTCTGAAATTTTAATCTTTTTTTTTTTTTCAAAATTAAATTATCAATTAAAATTTTCAACAAAATTTTATCCCATTAATACTCACATTCTTATTTCACATCAATATTTCTTTCTTTTTTTTTCCCCTCTTCGCTCTCCCCAGAATTTTTATTATTTTTTTTTAAATTTATGATAAAAAAAAAATTTCAAACCTTGTACTAATCACTGAACAAACATAAGCAACAATTTCACAGTCTTGAATTGTAATATTTTCCACACCAATATCTTCCAAAATTTGCATTGTTTTTTGATAAAATTTACCACTGTCATCTTGTTCAGCTTCAATTTCTGATACATATTTTGTTGGGAAGCAATGTGGTTGAGATATTGAATCATAATCACCGTTAAATAATAACTTTTCTTTAGCTAGATATGCTAATACATAACGTACCAATTCACCCATGTACATTCCAGAGATCATTTTTTCAAATATATGAAAACCTGGATTAATTGTTCGCTCATCCACCTGTGAATCATAAATTGTTCGAATGAAATCTAAACATCCGTCATCACCAAACGCGCCCCATTCCATATTAATAATCATTTCTTTTGGATATTTATCATCATGAAATTTGAATTTTTTAAATTTTGGACAATTTGATAGTTTTTCCATATAACAAGCATTGGTACCAGTTCCAAGAATTACACCAATTTGACAGGTATTTTCTTTGAATGCGCATGCCATTAAGGTACCAACTGTATCATTTAGTAATGCTTCAATGTCTATATCTATATCTTTACGTCGGTTACACGCATCACGTAAGAATTGAACAACATCTTTACCTTGTACGCCACTTGCGCTAAAACCTTTACTCCAGTGCATCAATATTCCGGATGTTAAACCTTCCTGTGATACAGGAAATGAAAATGTGAAACCAAGTGGTAATTTATTTGCACCTTTAAGATCATTATCCTCCATAAAATTAGCCAAACATGCAGCAATATGATCGAAAAGCATAATTCCGGTACCTTTCATTACACTATCTGGTACACCATAAATTTTTCCAATAATTTCAGCTTCGGTACCACTTAAACGTATAAGTAAAACACGAAAATTGGTACCACCTAAATCCAACGCTAAATAATCACCTTTTTCGGTACCATTTGGTATAGCTCGTACAAATGATGGTAGCATTTTCAAACATGATTTCACGTCAGGTTGATCACTTAATCCTTTCTCCATTTTATGATGCATTTCTTGCATTACACGTCTTAATTGATCATCAGATAATATTAATGGTTTGCAAAATTGTTCAATTTTTTCAAATTGATTACTATTTCTTTGACCATAAAATAATATTTTATGAGTCATATTTCTTCTCATTTAATCCTGAAAAATTATTTAAATTGAAAAAAAAAAGTTTGAAAATTAAAAAAAAAATTAAATGATATCAAAAGAAATTAACTAATTTTTTCATTTTTCATTTAATACATTTCATTTTTTTTTTTGAGTGAATAAATAAATTTAACAAATAGAACTAACCACTCTTCTATAGAAAAATAAGAAAAATAAATCACTTTTCCAATATTTTTTTTTTTTGCATTTTCTTTTGATAATCAAAAAATTTGCATATTTGATAATCAAAAAAATTTGCATATATAGAATTTATAAATTTCAAAAATAAAATTATTAAATTAAGTACTCCAAATCTGTTTTGCATTTTTTGTTAAGCTAAGAAATATTTGTAGTATGGCGAATTTTAATTTAAATAATATTCCATATGAAGTGGAAATTTATTTTGATACTGAAATAAATAATTTAAATTATTTACTTAAAATTTTTTTTTTTATTGATTAATGTCGAATGTTGAGAAAAAAAAAAGAATTTTGAATTTGCAAGCGAATTTTATATAAATAATGAAAAAATAGTTTGTGATGAGATTCAGAGAAAAATTAAAAAATGATTAAATATGAAATATAAAATATGTATAAAATATGAAAAAAAAAGTATTAAAACATAAAAGCATTAAAAATGTGAAAATTCTTTTTTTGAAGAATTAAATAAATTTTTCAACTATTGTTTTTTTCTTTGATCATTAACAATGATCTAAGAGATTGGAATTAAGCAAAATATTTATTGATTTATTGATCTTTAGTTTTACTCCAAAGATACAAAGCCATTTCTTTTGGAAAAATAAAATGAATTTATTATTTATAAATATATATATAATTATTTATTTATTATATATTTATTATAAAATGAAATGTACAAATTGGTAAATGAAATTTAAAGGATGCTAGAAAAAATGAATAAAAATTGGTGTAAATGAAAAATTTATTTTTACCATTTGATTGACTGATTCATTTTTTTTTTCATCTTCCTTCATTTTGATTTTTAAAAATTTTTTCTTTCTTTTACTTTTAAAATTTTTTTTTTCTTTTTAAATATTTTTCACTTATTTATTTTTTTTTTCACTTTATCTCTTCTTGCTTTTTTTTTTCGTTTATTAAATATTATCTACATTTCTTTGTCAAGATCAAAAAAAAAAAATTTATTAATCTTTAAAATTAAAAAATTATTAAAACTTTTTTACATTTTACAAAAAACAATTAGATAATCTCGTAATTTGATATATAAGCTCTATATTTTTAAATTCATTTTAATCTTCTACTATTTTTCAATCATGGCCGGGTTAGTTTAATTTTTGTCTCATTCATTTAATCAATTTTTTATTATTGTGTGGATGTTTTGGTGATAGGAATAATTTAAAAAATAAAAATGGAAATTAAATTTAAATTTATTATTTATCACGAATTTATCATTTAATTAATTTATTATAGCATGAAGAAATATTACGAACATTCAGTTAAACCTTCAGCTCAACTAAATCAATCAGTAAAATGTCCAAAACTATATGGCATTGTTGAATTTGAAGTTAAAAATAATAAATTTAAATAACTGAAACAAAATTTTTTTTTTTTTGTAAATTCGAAGTAAAAAATAATAAATTTAAACAATTGAAAAAACTGATTTTTTTTTTCGTTAAGTCTTGGGAAAATTTTTTTCCTCAAAATTATTGATATCATTAATGATAAGAAAAGATATAAAAGAGATATCACAGTGTGTCACTTTTGAAATTTTACTGCTTTTTAAATTAATTATAATAATCAATGATTGCTATCACTGATACATTTATAGATTGAAGTAACAGAATTGCTAGAAAATATTTCGATTGCTCTACATTATTTACAAAAGACTGACTTACTTTGTGCCACCAATAACGAATTGCAAATTTTTCAAAATGATATTGCAGCATTAATTGTTGCAGTAACAAATCTCAAATATAAAATACAGAAAGCATTCAAAGATATTACTTTTCAGTAAAAAAATTTTGCAAAAATTTCTTCTTTTTTTTTTTAATTTACAAATTTTTAAAATGATTAATTATATCATAGAATAAATAATTGGTTTATTTGATTATTTTAAAAATTATTACACCAAGTAATTTGATTATTTAATTAATTATATCTATTTAATTGTTTAATTAAAAGTTTATTAATTATAATTTTTTTTTGTTGCTTTTTTAAAATATAATTTTAAGGAAAGATATTACTTTTCAGTAAAAAAATTTTGCAAAAATTTCTTCTTTTTTTTTAATTTACAAATTTTTATAATTATTATTATTATTATATCATAGAATAAATAATTGGTTTATTTGATTATTTTAAAAATTATTACACCAACTAAATTGATTATTTAATTAAATTATATCTATTTAATTGTTTAATTAAAAATTTATTAATTTCTTTTTTAAAATATAATAATTTTAGGGAAGATATGCATTGTTTAGCATCAAGTAAAGAAAGTATTCATGGATTAAATTCACGAGAAATACCTGATAAAACATGGCGTAACATTCATCAATCAAAAGAATTCGATGAAACACAAAATGATTCAATGATATTTCATCGTCGTTTTGCAGCTGGTTCTTGCATATTACAGAAAAAAATACGACACAATGATAAAAAACAGAAATCCAGAAAAACTGATCCGGTTCTGTTTGAAAAGAAGATTAATCAACATTTCGGACAAATTGGTTCGAAATTAAAGCAATTGGCAAAATTGCCAAGCTATGATGTTTCGTATAATTCAGAGATTTTACTTTCATCAAATGAACGAAATGTTTAAAAAAAAAAATGCAATGAATTAAAAAAGAAAACAAAAATTTGAAAGATGTAAAAATTTCTGATTCAAATGAAATTTTTAAAATAAATCAATCGACTAAATGTGAAGGTTTTTTACTGATTATGAAAAATAAAATAAACGAATATTTTAAATTAAAAAAAAAAAAAAAAGCATATGTTCAAATAGAATGTGAAAAGTTTCAAATTAATGTATTTTTTTAAGCTATATGTTTTAATCAAAAATACTTAATATAAAGTTTAAATTCTTAAGAATTTCATTAAACTGAATCAAACTTTTAGAAATATTGCTTTATTTTATTTTATTTTTTTTTTTTAAATCAAAATAAATAGGATATTAATAGATGTATAATTATCAAGTAATCCAATACATCAATCTACAAATGTTAAACTTCATATCATTAAATTTTTTTGAAGTTTTTTTTGCTTCATTTTATTTATACTTTGAAATCTCATAATAATAATATTTTATAAAAGATCACAAAACTTACTGCTAACTAAAATAAAAGATCAAAAATTTTTTTTTCTTTGATTTTTTATAACAAATTTTGCAATAAAATATGATACTCAATAAAAATAAGCAAAAAAAAGAAATGAAATATATACTTTTATTCGGAGAAAAGTGGACAATCACAAATGGTTGAAATGAGAATAAAAGTTGCTAGGAGGAAAAGTTTCAAAAAAAGAAAATGTAAATTTCAAAGTAATCAAAGAATGTTTGTTAAAAGTTTAATTTGCATTTAATTTGTCTTATCATTGGGGTCAACTGATAAATTAAAATAACTTAGAATATTTGCATTATTGCATCATAAAATAATTTTAACATCCATTTGCAACGATTAAAATATAAAATTTTCAACTTTGAAAGTTCAAAATTAATTAATAATTATTTAAAAAATTTTATTAATTAAGAAAATCTTTAATTAATATAATACAATTGATTGCATCAAATATTAGCTCGTAATTAATTAAATAATTTTGAGACAAGTTTTTATTCAAATTTCAATGCAAGAAATAAACTTTTAAGCTGAAACAGAATAATTTACATTTATTAATTCAATATTTCATGCAAATATCATAGCTTTAATTGATGGCAATTTTAAGTTTCAAATATTAATTTGTGGATTTTCATTGTGCCTACAATAATTGAATTATGAGAAACAAAAAAAAAAAAAAAAAAGAAAGAGGAAAAAAACTTTTATAAAGATTATTTAATTAATTTCAAAGTTTCAATTTGTTCGAATTAGTTTGTGAATGCGTAGCTATCTCTTATGAATTTAATTAATACTTGTTGTACAAATATATTAAATTTTACTTTCATATCACAAAACAATGTTATCCTTAAGATTAAATTAAATTAAATAGAGAAAGATTTAGTGAAATGATAATGAATACGTTTATATTTCGAAAATCTTTGTAACATATGGTGTTATCATTGAATTTCATTGCAAATAACACATTATTTTAACACTTTAAATCATATTTGTATTAAGGAAAAATGTCGTAAAATTTTAAATTTATTTTCAGCGAATTTTCCACTTGTTTTTTTGATAGAAATACATTTATTGCAAAAATTGAACTTTTGTTACTTACATTTTTATTTATTAAAATTAATTAAAATAGATTTTGAGCTGCAACAAATTCAAATAATCCTAGCAGAGAAGTCGGTGAGAGGTAGAAAAGCACGTATGTTATTGTAGGCTGCAGTTCTTTCCGTTAGTGTGGTCCCTTCAGTGCGGCGGATGGAATGATGAGTCGTGGGTTGGCAGGTTGAGGGTTGCGGGTTGCGGGTTGACTCGAAGTCGTGTATGTTTGACCGATTCATTACTATCCGTTACAAAACGAGAGTAGCACAGGCCAGTCTTTATCGTTGTTTGTTTCCAGGACAATCTTCGGTATCATTCAGATTTACTTGATCTGAAAACTGTGCGCTCTTTCTGCTTCAGTATTGATTGCTAGGAGAGAAGTAGCGTGAAAATGAGAGACAAGGTTTGATTTTTTTCTTTTCGTTTTCGTTCAGCGAGTTCTAATATTTAGACCTTGCAGCTGCATAAGATATGATGAGGTTTTGTTAATGTAAGCGAAAGTTTCTATATAATTTGTCAAACTTCTTGCTGCTGCTTTATCGCGGTTTATTTTGCAACTTCCTGGACACTTTTAAAGTTAGAACAGATGGGTGTATTAACCTGATTTTTAACGGTGCCTTTCATTCTAAGTTTCCATTTATGCAAATGTAGAATACAGTGGGGAGATTATTTGTTTAGAATTATTGGTTTGGAATCTGAGACAGCGGTAGCCTTGCGAAGTGGTGTTTTTTGGAGAAACTTTAATTAATTGGCTTAATCACGTTTAATTTTAGTGGCGTAAAAAGCGTATGCGTCGGCTGAAGCGCAAGCGAAGGCAAGCGAAGAAGTGATTAATGTTGCAAGTGGGGGAAGGAGGTCCTGAAATATTCTGTGGATTGCAGACAGTTTCAGTTTAAATCAGGATGTTCGGATAACTTCCATTCTGCTCATCTTTTTGAAATAATGTTGTTGTAGCTGTACCTATTTTATGCAAGGAAGCAGTAAACGGATTTAAACGTAATTTGTTACAGTGGTAAAGCAAAATTATTTCTCAGAGCACTTAGTTTTCTAATTAATTCAACTTTGCATATAATCAAATAGGACTTGACCACATTATCTGGGAGGTGAACTTTATCAGTCAATCTCGTCGTTGTTCTTTGCTCCTCAGTTTTTTGCTCTTTCTTATGGTTGTTTTTATATTGCTAGCGTTACACTTGACAGAAGTTTCTACTGTTGTCGCTAAAATAAAATATCTATCGTAGCCATTTTGTTACATAAACGTACATTCCATGTAATACATATATCGTATATTTGCATATATGTTGGAGCTACAGTTCTAAAATGGTACAGAGATGATCATGGGAGATGCAGTAACATAGATTTTGTGATGTAGATATTTTGCAAAGTGTCCGTCTAAATGAGAGACATTTCTGGTAGCAGTAAGTGGATTGTAGATTGAGAAGCAGTGGACGGAACGGAAGTAACAAGAGATCTTTTGAATGAAGTGGTAGGGCGATATTTTAGGTCGGTGTGGTTGTATAAAAACGTGGGATAAAGCGCAAAAATCGTGATCTTTTATCATTTGAAGAAAGCTGAGCGTAGCTATTTCGTTGTTTTCGTCGTGATAAAGCACAATGGATGATCGGAACAGTGGGGAAGAGTGAAGTCCGTTTCATTTTCCGAAAGATGAGTGAACAAGCAATAAAACCAGTGGCTGTGGGTGTTGTTGTTAACGTAGATCTGGAAATGAATTATGGTATTATTCATGCGAACGGTTATGGACGCGTACTTATTATGCGCAATTTCGATAAGGATTTGGTACAATTAAGCAATTGGATTTCAGTCGAAGTTGAACAGAATACGGATCCTGTTCTGGTAAGTGAAGGTATAACATTGATCAGTGGAGGTTACTGCATAGTTGGCTTTTATATTTGTAAACTAGGATGAAAACTTATTGAAATTGACGGTTGTCAATAGTTATCATTTCAGACATTTGAACGTATCTATTGTAATTTTATTGATGCCGGAAAACCAAAAGCTATCGATGAACCATTGCCCACAGCCACATCACTCTCTAAAACGGGTACAACGAATTTACGTATCCAAACACCGGTGTTCGTAGGGAATATCACATTTGGAAGTAGCATTGGACTCAGCCCGTATTTGGGTCGCGTTTATTTGAATAAAAATCGTTAGTTATCAATCTTTGTATGTTCATTATTTGCACTTTCGAAATTTCTAAATGACAAACTTTAATGTTGCTGATTTTTAATCATAATTGAATCATTTCATTCATTCTAAACCTAGAATGGTTTAACGACAGTAAGTAATTTTTTTTTCCATGTATTAGTTGATGTTTTTTGCAGTTTGTAAAAAGTTTAATGCAAGTCCACTTACTTGGGCATATTGTGGTGTTATATCAGTTGCGCCATGCGAAGCTAACTTCAATTCGTTCTGGGAGGCTCGGACTGCTAGGCGTGAAGATTGCGACGATCCAAAATTTTCCCAAAGCATCAGAAGATGCCTGGTAAGATGGGTTGAAGCTTTTCGGTAATTTTTCCACATGTTTAGATAGTAAGAAAAATTGATGTCAAAAATTGCATACATATTTGACTGCTAGCGCTTTTAAAGTTCCACTACTCCTTTTTTATGCAGAAAGAATTGATAGTAATTCATTGGGGATAAATTAATCGTAAAATGATGTATATTGATGTTGCATTCATTTCTATTTTCAGGGCCGATTTCATTCTTCCAATGAAAAGAACATTTGTATTTTACAATTGTTTGATAGAAATGATAAAGACAAAGGCTTTGCATATGTTCATTCATTTGATTTTGCTCATACTGTTCGTGAAGAAGACTTGAAGAAAGCGAAGGCCATTCAGGTAAACTATTCTAATATCAATGACATTGTAAGATTTTGACAAAAGATCGTAACGATTTGGCAATAATGAAATATATCTGAACATGTTTTTGGGATTTCTTAACAATCGATAAATCACTGCAGCTCGGATCATCGACAGCCTAACCAGTTAGTAACTTGATCGGATAGAAAATTAGTTTAGCAGGTAACGCTATCGTTATATATATATATATATGCTTAATCTTGCACTGAATGTTGAAACATTCCAACGCTCGTAATGATTTATGAAGGAGATTATATTATCAGCTTCGAAGACAGTAATTAAAAAATCATTTTTTTTTTTTTTTTTTGATTAGTCATTTTTATCTTTTCAGGTTTACGTTGCTGCACAACTCTTGTATTTTCCTGATTATCCTGTTCTTGCATGTTATGCACGTGTCATTGATGATGGCTTGCAAGATGTACAAGTTGAAACGGTGGAGGAGAAACTTGCCATGCTTGATATATCTGTTACGGACAACAGCAGTGATGTCGGAAGCAGTAAACCGAAGGCTCTTGAGGATGCGGTGAGGAAGAACATAAGCTTGTTTTTTCATTTCTTATCTTTTTGAATTCGAGCTAGATGTACCTTGCATTTTTAAAGAAGTTTCGCTCTTATTATTTTGATTTTTCGAAGTTTGAATTGGTGAAACAATTATTTGTTGATTTCATTACTTTTCTCGAAAGTTATATGGAATCTAAGAAAGAGATTTCAAGGCTGGAAATCAATAAATTTTTCTCTTTATATTTTGGAATTACTTATAATGTGTTTTTGCTTTCAGCCGTTAATTTGTGATAAAAATTGTGAAACAATTGACTTCATCAGCAAGCTGTTGGCATATCAGTCGGTGGCCAAAAATATCAAGAAGGTCGATCCAGTTCTTTTTAATGATTTATGTGCTTTTATCACAAAATATACTTGATTTGTTTGCGTGTTTTACTATGTACTTAGTCTGAAATACATGATTTCTGAACAATCTATTGTTCATTCTAATTTTATCATAGTTCATTTTAGTGTAAATAACGCTTTCAAACAAATTTGCAGGTTCACGTTTGCTTATGTGCGTACTATAAAGATGTTTTTTGTATGTAAATCTTATCAATAATATTGAATGCATACTTGAGATTGTTATACATTTGGTTATTGAAATATATTAAAATTTGTACAGGTCAATATCTACTTTTTGGTCATTTATGTGGGTAATTTTGTTTCTGATCTTGTTGTTTATTAATATTCCATGATAAATTATTTTGGTTCGAGTTCTTTTTTTTTTTCATAACTCTAAACTTCTAGTTCTTAGCATATCGCTTGCAGCGAAATGAAATGGTCTATGTCCGTGAGATCTTATTTTTTACTGTTCAATTTTATCTACCAAAATTTATACGGCGGTTGTGCTTAAAAGATTAATTGTTTATGAGGTTTTAAAAGGATATTTAACTCAGTGGCTGTAAATATATTTTCGACTTTATAACTGCAGCTACACGGTTAGGAGGCTATTATTTTAGTTTTGTTGATTTTATCTTAAATTTATCCTTAAATTTATTGTTTCCCGATTTTTAGATATTTGCCTTCAATTGGTCGTCAGTTATGGCAGACGACTATTCGGTACAATTAAAAAAGGTTTGTTCATTCCTATGTAAACGTTAGAATTCTGTCTCAAAGAAAACTGGAATTTATTGTGTATTAATTTAGTTTATTGCTAAGCATTATCTCATATTTGAGTGCGATATGTTAGCAGAGAAAATGAATGTTTATTCTACAGCGATAGTAAAAAAAAACAGTAGAAGTGTCGCACCGTGCTCTTTATTTATGATCATAATAAATGTCATGTCCACCGTCATTCATTATTTATTTAGAATTCTTTTTTTATTTAATCATTTCTCACTTTTAATTTTAGGCGTTCAGAGAGTTACAGACCAAAGTGGCTGATACAAATCGCCGTTTACAACTTGGTGATTCATTAAAGAAGCAACAGGAGCAGGTATTTTGCCATTACTTTACATAAAGAATTGTATGATTTGAAAGTCAAGATTTATGTAACAACAGATTTTTGTTTTATAGTGCTTCACGGATAACGTTTAGTCAAGACCGAATTTTGTTTTTTTTTTTTTTTTTTTTTTTTTTTTTTTACAAATTATTAAACCTAATTAGTTACTGCCTCAATATTAAGACAGCAGTTAACTACAACTGAAAAGTCATATTTTGCTTTACGACTTCTAGAATCGACGAATAGCAGAGCTAACCAAGGCACAGCTTTTGGAGTTAGACAAGAATACGCCTGTATATATGAGTATTGGGCGAATGTTTGCCAAAGGAACCGTAGAATCAGAGATCATACGACATGAACAAGAAGTAAGCTGAAAGTTGAAGATTTTATCACATTTGGATTGAAAAATTTCTTCCTTATACTTTTATCGAGGTGAAATTAGAAATAACCAATAATGAATTGTTTCATCACATTGAAAAGTAATGCATGATTTTTCTAGAATTGCGTAATATTAAGTATATCAATCTGTTTTTTGTTATTTTCTCTTTATAACAGTGTCAGCCATATCTTAGCTCGAAGTACTGAATTAAACTCTATCCTTTTTCTTTCACTCATTGTTAGGCTTTTATTAAAGGAATGATTTCGGAATGTCGAACTTTATTTTTCAATATTCCAGATATTCTAATTTAAATTTTATTTCGGAGATTTTCAACTTTTTTAAAGATTTCATTTATAGATTGTGAAAGCAAAAGAAAAAATAGCTGCAATCGATCATCAAAGAAAATATCTAGAGAAAAACTTAGCCGAGTCGGAAAAGAATATTAGAGAATTAGTAGAGTCGCGACCGTGATAAATTTTATTTATATGTATATTTTGTGCCGATAATTCCTCACTTGCACTGCTTTATTAACAGTTTCAATAAAAATTTTTTCTCTTTCGTTTTTGTATTTTTTCGCAATTTATGTCTATTCATTCCACTTCTACTTTTTTGGAATATGGCTATTCATCTATCCTGTATTATCAACAACAATTTAGCCACATCTGGTTAGATCAGCTGGAATGTTAGATTTTATGACAAACATTTAGCAAAGATTGAGATTGCGAAGTTTGTATCAGAAAATGAATCTTGTTTAAGATCAGTTTTTTGTTATGCTCTGTACCTAGTTGTGTCTAACTGATCTGATTTGATTAGACAGATTTTAAATTTAATCATTCTGACTGTAAACAATTTATAAGTTATGCAAAGTCGTAAGCTTTACAATTTAACTTCTTGCGTTGTTGATAATCTGGAATATTTACAAGTAACTTTGAAGTTATCTTTTGTCGGACTATGTATAGATCTGTTTTGTTCCTAGAAATTGAGTTAACTTCAGTAGGATAAATGGGACTTATTCTAAGGGTCGAAAGTTATTTTATGTTTTCGACAACTTCGTGGTCACTGAGTATTATATTACGAGCTATCATCAGAGGAACATTGCACTGAGGGAGTTTTTCTCTTAGCTGAAAGCTTGTTTTACTTTCTTTGAATTGTTTGACGTTTCACGTCTTTTTTTTTTTTTTTTTTGTTGTATGCGAAACTAAATTTGTTTTATAGAATTGTTCTGAGAAGGAGCAAAATGATTATACCGATACGTTGCTTCACTTGTGGTAAAGTTATTGGTAACAAATGGGATGCTTATCTCGGATTACTTCAAGCAGAATATTCGGAAGGCTAGTAATTTGTCGATTTTTAGATTTCAATCTAAATTTAATGTGTCAATGGATAGTCCTTATTCATTGGTAAATTCATATCTGATTACGAAATGAAATTTGTTTCAGAATTCGAAGTTGAGAATTAAAATCAGCAGTGTTTTATACTGCAATTATTATAAGGCATTTAAACGGAGATATTGCTTATAAGTGCTTTTGTAATATCAAGAGATGACTTTTTGTTTTAATTTCAGGTGATGCTCTCGATGCATTAAATTTACGCCGCTACTGTTGCCGAAGAATGCTTCTGTCACATGTCGATTTAATTGTCAAATTGCTCGATTATCATCCATTGGAGAAGTGATTATACTTTCACATTATTACTCACTTATTATGCCTTTTTTTAATATTTTTAAAAAGAAATTGTTACAAAGATGTGGGACCTTCTCTGTTCAGTACCCTCTTCATTATCTATTGCTATTACTGTTTCATAAGTTTGTGATGATTAATTGCAGTACATGTGAATATTTTTCAAACAAATAAAGGTTTTCCAATTCATACTTGTAATTATTTGATCAATTTTTTTTGTTTTTCAGAAGTACTCTTCGTGGCTTACATATATTAGTATTCGTGTTGGAGTAACATTACTACCTCGATTTTAAGATCTTTTTTCCAATATAGTATTTTGTCAAAATAAGTGAAACCAGCCCAAATGTTTAACTACATTTCTTTTATTTATTTGTTTAGATTTAGAAGATAACTTGTGAACTGTCGTCTGATTCACCTGAAAAAAAAAAATGTGCTAATTAATTTTACAACATAAGTTGAATTCAGGATTAACATTGACATATGTTAAAATTATGTTTATAAAATTAGGAATAATTATTACTGGTCTTTCTTACTTCTTTCTCCCTCTCTCTCTCTCTCTCTCTCTCTCTCACACACACACACACACACCACGGCATATACTCTACTATTTCAAGTGTATGTCTAATTGTAATGATTCTTAAAACTTTTTTTTTTTAAATTTCAAAACTATATTCTTAAAACTTTGTTATTAGTGTCTGTCATAGGTGAGAACAGGTAACAAATTGAAATTACATACATTAATTTGCTAATCAGTTTATGTAACCTTATTTATAACTCGATTGAAAGATTTACACTTTTTTTTATTTATTAAAAAATTGAGACTTGAGCAGTTTATTTGTGTGTGGAAGATAGATCAGTAATAAAGTACTGATTTAAAATGATCATATAGTTTAGGTCATCAGATATTCTATTTCTGTTAATAAATTTGATTGCAACTTGACTGCATAGTCACTTTAAAACAAAAATTAGAAATAATGTTATACTTGGATTATTTTTACTAACTAAACTGTATATGTATATATATAATCGTTTTAGTTTCTTTTCTCTCATTTTTTTTTTTAAATTCTTTGACATTGTTTTTCTTTGCTTTTTTGACATTTTTTTGAAAGTTTTTTGAAATTATGTGAAATTGTTGATTCGCTGAATAAGTTAGTTAATTGATAGAAATTAAATGGTTTAAGTGATCAATGAAATGAATTGTGTGCTAAAGCAGAAGGAAATATAAAAATAATTATTGAAAACTTTTCAAATTCATTTACTAGTTTTGCTTTTCTGTTGCGGAATCTCATCAATTATTATTGAGCAGCAAATTTTTTCAGAAGAAGAAGAGAAGAGCTGCTCTCATTTGTGCTACACTGTAGTGATCTAAACTTGTCAAAGGCTTAATTTGCACTGCTTATCAATCTATGATAGCTATTTCTAAGCTAAAAATATAAATAAACATTACATTTTAGATTAAACAATTTAAGAGATATACATATATCAGAAATTTAATGAGTTCTGAAATCTGATGAAAACATATTTTATCAAGTTTTTTTTTTTTTCATTTTACAATTTTGCATTATTCTTGAATTATGTGATGTGTTAACTTTTTTTGTTTATCAATTTTAACTTATATATTTTAGACTAATTTCTTGGTGATTGAATTTTGGTGAGTTTATTGTTCACTAATGTTCGTTTCATAATGTTTGCTGGCGATTATCCTCCACCAAAATACGAAGAAATTCATAACACTGATAATAGCAATTCTACTAACACTGATATCACTAGTATTTCTTCATGTCCTGCACCATTACCATCTTTAGCAGCAACAAATATAACTAATACTGATGAAAATGTTGCTACTACTACTACTACTACGCCATTCCGTGTTAATTTAATTTCCTCAACTACACCTATTTTTGGACCAAATCCAATTGAAACTGATTGTCCATATTGTCAGGTTTGTAGTTTTTTTTTTTTTTTGTAAAAAATTGTAAATTTTTAATAAAATTTAAAAATTATATGCTGGTTTGAAATTTTCAGATTAGGAAATTAGATTTTATAATTGCTATTGTTATTACATTTTACTTATGCTTAATTATTATTTAATATTATTTCTTCTATGTTAATTATTTTATCGAGCGTTTAAAAATGCTTAAAAGACAAAGCAAATTATTATATGATTTGTTTGAAATTTTCGTTGAAAAATTAATCATTTTGAAATAGGCACATGTTGTAACATCAATACAAAGGATAGTTGGTGCGCTTCCATGGATTGTTATGGGAATATGCTTTCTACTTGGTTTTTTTCTACTTCTTCCATGGTGCCTTTGTTGTATTCCGTTCTACCTGGATAATTGTCAGGATGTCATCCATTCATGTCCATCCTGCAAACGAAACCTTGGACGTTTCACTAGGGTATAAAAATATTGTGATCAATATTTCTAATTATATACATTTTAATGGTTTGCAATTCAGTTATGTTTATTTATGGTTAGTTTTTGGTCATGAAATTTTAGCAACAAAATAATGTTCAGTTCAAACATTTATTTGCTTTTCATTATAATTATTTATTTCATTTTCTATTATAAAATTAACTTTTTAGGCATTATTAACCTTGAAAAATTAAGTTTCTTTTTTTAAACACTATAAATATATTTTACTTCTATTATAAAATTAAATTTTTAAACACTATTAACCTTGACAACAACCCATAAGTAAAAGTATTTCGATTTCAATGAGAGTTTTTGAAGGAATTTTCCAAAGTACTGCTATATATTTTGATGGGTACTAAACATATTATTGAAGACGATTCATAACTTTGTTTATATTCACGGATGGATTCTTCAGTTTTTATTAAAAATACACTTTCATTTGTATCTTCTTAAGTATAATTTTTGAGCTTTTCTTTTATATCAGTTTGTAATTAGTCTTTTTTCATCTTAAACTAATTTGAGTGGTTTATGTTTTATTTCTTACTTTCTTGAATTTATACAGTACGAAACTTCCAAATTTCGCTAAAATTATGTACATTTTAGAAATCTGAAGCCAGATTTGAGTAATGTAGTACTTTAATTTAGCACTGCTCAAGCTATTCGTAACATATACTACAAAATTTTGCTACTTTTATATTCTCTAAAGTTGCTTATAAATATATAAAGCATGAATTTGTAGCTTTAAATTCAGTTATTGTTACGATTTCTCAATCTTTTCTAAGTTTTTTATTTTGTTCATCAAAAAAACGCTTACAAATTTGTCATTATTTCTTATTTTCTTGTCAGTTTGTCAGCATTATTGTCTTATTAAATTAATGATTTCATGGTATGAATTACTGAAATCCAGACAATCGATTATTTTAACAAGATAGAAAATGTATTGTTTCTTGCTTAATTTTTTTCAAGGAATGTGGAAGGCCCAAAATTAAATTAATTAAGTTAAAAATAATCAGACTATTTTATCCAGTACACACAATGTTTGCATCTCGATCACATTTTGGAAGACAAAACGTAGTAAATTTTGTGTATATGGCAATGAATTACTGACAAAACTTATATTTACTTTAAAAAATTCTGTCTTAACAGAATTTTTTTTTTTTTAAAAAAAAGCTGTCAAAAACTAAATTTGCTAGATATCAATTTATACCAGCTATATACAAAATGATCATTTGATCAGAGTATTTTTTAGACGTTAGACTTTTAAATATTTTATAAAATTAATTGTTGCACAAATCAACGAACATATTGGACAAAAACTTTATGTCAACAGAATATCAAACATTATTTCACTGCCAAAATAAAACAGATTTTGAAATTGAAAAAATCACTACTTGCTTCTACCCAATCGACGATAAGTTCCAATCCAGGCTTTACAATTGGGACAGTAATGATACGCATCTTTGAATGTATCAGCAAAGAATGGTACCCAAAGAAAAAATAAGGGTAGAATAAAAATACCAGCAATTAAGATAATTAGAAAACTAATCCATGTGAAGAGACCAACAATAAATTTCACTTCGGTGACACAATGAATCTATAATGAATGATAAATTAATCATTTTGATAGCATTTTTAAAATGCTAACTTTTAATTATTTTTTTGTATGGAATTGATTAAGTAGTGAAAATACTATACTATTAACTCTTTTATAGCAGAAATTATGAAAGAAAATGTGACTTTCTCAAATTTGAAAAGGAACATTAGTGATAAGTATCAATAAAATCAATAGGAATTGAATTTATAATAATTATTATAAATTATTTTATAATCTGATATTTATAATCTTTTTTATAATAATCTGCAAACTCTTCCTGCAGAAAACAAATTATTAGTAACTCAAAATTACTTAATTTTTTTTTCTTCATGTTAATTATAAGTTTCCATATCTATTATCTTTCAGAGATCACTGTTAGCTTATCATCATAAATTGCTTTCATTCAATTACTTCTTACTCTTATTAATAATACAATTTAAAATTTCACTATTGTGAGAAAAAACAAACAAACAAATGCCAATAAATTGTTCCATTTCATTTATTAGATGAAAATTTTTTTTTACTTTTACCTTACAATATGGACAATCAATCAATTGTGGTTGATCAGATAGATATTTTTTGATATTAACCACCATGCTAGGTGTATGACTGATCGATCGATGAAGTATTGTTGGTGGAATTTGCTGAGATTTCTCGAGAAGCATTTTTCGGAAAGCATTAAATAAAATTCTGGGAAAGTATTAAAACAAATTTCCACTATTTCTCATATCATCAATCAATGCAAAAAAAAAAAAAAAATTATAAAAGAGATGAAATGATGGAAGATAAATTCCAAAAAATTGTGTTTCTGCAAAAGATTGAAAATGAAAATATGCAATGGAAAATAGATAGAAGCTATTTACTTTATTCCTATTTAACAATACAAACTTGTTTTAATGCATCCCGGAATTTACTTAGAATTACTCGAGAGTTAATCCTAGCATTGATGTCGCATCATTGTTTGCTTATTTTTTGTTTACTTGTTAAATGTACCATCTTTATTGATGACAATGTATGATTAATAAAATTACACCTTGATAAAATCATTTTACACTTATTCACAAGAAATCCTTTTTTTTTTGGAACAGAAATTTGTAGAGTTAGCAAATATAACAAATTTATTTCATCTTTAAAAAAAAAAAATTATTGAAAAAGCAATGAAAATTAAATGTAAAATGTTGAAATTTTTGAACAATAATGTTAAGAAATAGTTATTCTCATCTTTTATTCTAATTTAATAGAATAATTTTAGTCATATTTACTTCTTATTATTGTTTTAATAAATTAATGAAAAAGAGAAAAAAAAATAATTCTTCAATAATTCAATTAATTGATTAATCAATTAATTGAATTAATCAATCCCAGTTTTTCAACTCAATTAATTGAATTAATTAATCCCAGTTTTTCAACCCAATTAATTGAATTAATTAATTCCAGTTTTTCAATTCTTATTTTGTTTCTTTTCAACAACAATTCAAACTTCCAAGCATATCTTTTTTCCAGTTCACATGGATTCAACTTATTCTCGGATGAGATTGAATTGTTGCATATCGCATCACATTCATTTCGAAAATTCTCTGGAAAGTTCCAATGTAGTAAATGGGTTTGTTGTATGTGCGAAAGGTTGACGGTAGCTTAGCTTAGTGTTAAAGTAATACTTTAATAAAGAATTTCTCTTAGTTTTTTTTTTTTTTTTTTTGCTCTAGGAGTACTCAAATAACATTTTTCATTTAATCAAATCTTTGATAACTTATTTTCTAAAGTTAATTCAAGTTTGCATAGAAGACTAATTTAGTAGGACATCTTAATCAATGTTGAAGCAATGTTTTTTTCATCCTTTTTACTAATGATATTATAGGTAATATACATATATCATATGATTGTATGAAATATATAGGAATAAGTTTAGCACTTTCATTAAAAATTTCTACTACAAAATGAAATTTTTGCATTTTATTGTGTCATAAGTATTACTGCGGTAAATTGAAGTCAGTAGTTCAGTATTTTGTGCTGTAAGATTGCTTCCGAGCTTCACGCTTGGTCATTATGAGATATGATTAATGGAGTTGCAGCCATCTCTTTCAAGTCATTTCAGAATTCTGAACTATAACAATGGTCAAAGAAACAAAGTACTATGATATTTTGGGCGTTTCGCCTACTGCAACCGAAAATGAGCTAAAGAAGGCGTACAGGAAGTTGGCACTTAAGTACCATCCGGATAAGAATCCCAATGAGGGTGAACGTTTTAAGGCGATCTCACAAGCATATGAGGTTTTTCCATATTTTTCTTTGTCCTGCACAAAAACAGAAGTAAGCTGCTTTCTTGTAGTAGTAAATTTTGCTTTTTTTAAGAAACATTTTGCTCGATTAATTCATGAAATTAAAGGTTTTATCGGACCCGAAAAAAAGGCAGGTATATGACGAAGGTGGCGAAGAAGGTCTAAGCGGAGCGGGTGGAGGCGGAAACTTCCACAATCCAATGGACATTTTCGACATGTTTTTCGGAGGTAATGGCATGTTTTTTAGTCCATTATTTGATTGGAATAAAATAATTTTATTATTCGATGAAGAAATACATATATTTAGTTTCAGTTGTAATATACAAAAAAATCGAAGCAAATAACTTGTTGGACATTCTGAAAATAATTCTTTTGTGCAATGCAGTATAAATCAAGGTTTAGCAAACTTGATAAGAAGATTGGATGCGTGTTTTTTTAATATATATATCGAAATTAAATTTTCGCACTTTAGCTGGATTATCTTGAATTTTAGGTCATTTCCGAGGAGGTGAAAGAGGTGAACGTAAAGTACGTGACATGATACATCAATTACCGGTGACGCTAGAACAATTATATAACGGCGCTGTCAAGAAACTGAAACTTTCACGTAATATTGTTTGTCCGGCATGCGGAGGTATTGGTGGAACAAAGGTAGAGTAGTACTAATTGTCATAAAAATGGAACTTTCATGTTATCGTATATGATAAGTTTTGCGGACGAGAATCCTAACGTTAGGGTTGATTTATACGTTGTTCCTTGAGGTATTTCATAAGGATTGTAAAAACATTCTAGTTTAAATTTTAATTCCAGGATTCCGTGATTCGTTGCGACAGTTGTAAAGGTCGAGGTGTACGGATCGAAATTACGCAAATTAGACCTGGTATGGTACAACAAATGCAGTCAACATGTAATGTTTGCCGAGGTGAAGGTGAAGTAATACCTTCAAAAGATCGATGCAAGCAGTGTGACGGAAAAAAAAAGGTAACTTTCATACATTGCTCATATATGAAAAAAAAAAACCAAGATGTTTTAGCGTTAGCAAGTTTCGATCTTAATTAGTCATAATTATTTTTGCTTCGTCTTGAATTCATTTTGCAGAGAGCTCCCGAAGTATAT